TCCTCCTCCTCCTCCTCCTTCTTTTTTGAGACAGGATCTCACTATGTAGCTCTGGCTGTCCTGGAACTCACTGTATAGACCAGGTGGCCTCAAACTCACAGAGATCTGCCCGCCTCTGCCTCCTGAGTGCTGGGACTAAAGGTTTTCTTTTGCCCAACTACTCCAGGGGTTGCTTTCCAGTCCTGAGACTGCAGACTACACTGGGTATCAGAAAGCCTGACAGTATCTGGTTTCTCTTTTACCTCTGCCATTATCTTTGCTAATAGATGCACTTAATACTATGTCCACATACTTCTCAAGCTACAACCACACATTCTGTTATGTTTCAGGTTCAATTGCATATAGTTCAAAATATTTATTATTTCCTTTAGAATCCACAGACTATTTTCGAAGTATGTGTTTACTTTTTAAACATTTGGAAATCTCTTTACTGTAGTTGATGCCTAGCTTAATTCTTTTCTCATCAGAGATTTTTGCATTAATTAAGCTGTTTAAAATGGGTTGCAGTTGTCTTGTTCTGAATATGATTTGTATTGGTGACTGACTGTACTAGGCTGATCAGAAAAGAATATGTGGTCCATTTTTATTAGACAGCTCTCCAAATGTGTCAATCAAACCTGTTTTATGGTAGTGTTGTTCAAGACTTTTATATCTTTACTGACTTTTTCCTGTTCTTTTTTGGGGGGAGTGGGGTGGGGTGCCAGCACAGGCTGGCTTACAATTCTCTTGCCTCCACCTCCAAATGCTAGGATTTACAGGCTTATATCACCACGCCTGGCTTGTCTTCTTCTTTCTTTTTAAAACGATTTTATTTTATTTTATGTGCACTGGTGTTTTTCCTTCATGTATGTCTGTGAAGTTACAGACAGTTGTGAGCTGCCATGTGGATGCTGGGAATTGAACCTGGGTCCTCTGGGATAGCAGCTGGTGCTCGCTCTTAATCACTTAGCCATGTCTCCAGCCCCAAGAGAGAAATATTGGAGTCCTCAGATATAATTGTGATTTTATATATTTCCCCATAAATTTTATTTTAATTATTTATTTTTTGTGTGTACATGTTTGTGTGTGTTCTTGTGCTTACATGTGGAAGTCAGAGAACAACTTGAGGAAGTTAATTTTCCCCCAAGACCATGGGGGAGTCTACCATGTAGACTGGCCTGGAACTAACTATATAAACCACACTTGTAGATGTAACCAACGGTCTTATTAAATAAGAAACACAGAAACAATGTAAAAGAGAGAGCCGAGAAGTCAGAGTTCAGAGCTAAAATCTCACCCTTCCTCCTGCTGTCCCAGCTTCGCGAAAAGAGACCTACTTCCTGTCGGTTCGTTTTTTTATAGTATGTTGTTCTGCCTTCTCATTGGTTGTAAACTCAAACACATGACTGCCTCGTCACTGTCTGAATGTACAGCCCCCTAGGTCTTAAAGGCATATGTCTCCAATGCTGGCTGTATCCCTGAACACACAGAGATCTTATGGGATTAAAGGCGTGTGCCACCACCGCCACACTCTTGCTATGGCTCTAATAGCTCTGACCCTGAACACACAGATATCTATGGGATTAAAGGCGTGTGCCACCACCGCCCGGCTCTTGCTATGGCTCTAATAGCTCTGACCCCCCGGACAACTTTATTTATTAACATACAATCAAAATAATAATTCAGTACAATTAGATTACCACCACACACACTGGCCTTGAACTCATAGAACTCTGTCTGCCTCTGCCTCCTGAGTGCCAAATAATTTTGAAAACAGAACAAGAATCAGATGGTTTTCTGTCTATGATAACTTCTCTTTCTCCCGCAGACAAATCTACCAGTGCCTTCCTCTTTAATACCTTCTGATCTCAGCACTGACGGTAGACACGGTAGACACTCGTACACCCTGGCAACTCTCCCTCCACTCCGGATGGTGCCCCTACAGGGAAACATTCGTGTTTCCCAGAACCATCCCCCTCATTATTATGGAGATTTTGATTCAGTCCTCTCCCAACCACAGCCTTGACTTTCTAGTGTGCTCTTCCAAACCTTTCTGGATGTCCGAGACACAGGTTTCTCTCTTTCCCTGGACATGTCAGTTGGCTTTCTCCAGCTCTTTGAAGCCCACCATCTTTTTGGGTTACATCACATAGTCCACATATGGTATACCTGTTGACATTCATGTTTTTATCTCTGTGGAGACTACACGTATAATTCTATAAGGTGATGAGTGTGCTTTAAAGTCCCAGACTTAGCCAGGCGGTGGTGGTGCACTCCTTTAATACCAGTACTCGGGAGGCAGAGGCAGGCAGATCTCTGTGAGTTCGAGGCCAGCCTGGGCTACAGAGTGAGTTCCAGGAAAGGTGCAAAGCTACACAGAGAAACCCTGTCTCGAAAAACCAAAACCAACCAAACAAATAAAGTCCCAGACTTAACCCAACCCTACCTTCATACAGCCCTGGAGATACTGAGAGTAAGCCAACGTCATTCAAAAGACGGATGGAAGGATCTGATCCTTCCAGCCCACTAGCAAGCAGCTGGCTCCTGTCCCTCTACTTTGTTCTTGAGACAGAGCCCTGTCAGACAGTAAGGGAGCAGGCATGCTAGCTGCCTGTTTGCTTGGACACACAGAGTGTGGCCTTGTCCTCTTTCTTAGAAAGAAACTTGTCAGACCATCAGAGGGATTGGCAGTCCTCTTTCACAGAGAGCTGAAAGCAGGATTCTAGCCATGTACTCATTTCCATTACATCTTTCTGGTGATGCATGTTTTTTTGCTTGTCTTTTTAGATAACTCGTATGTTGGGTCATACTTTTGGAGAACGGTCTTCAGACACCTTGAGTTTCCTGTCCTTGACCAGGACAAATTTTATCTAAGAGTCAGTGTTACTCAACATGTGACCACATAAGCCTACTTTGTTCAATCTGGATGCTTTGACAATTGTATGAGTACAAAAAATATACAAAATGGATATAAAATAATTTCTATTCCCTAGAGGCAGATCAAAAAAGGAAAAGTTGGGAATTTGTTGCACTTACTAGTGTTTTTAAAGGGAGAGAGTAAAAACAGAAGGTCAACAGAAATGTATTATACCTGGGGGTGGGCTTTGCATTGGCATCGGCTCAGGCTGGTGATCTAAGTTAATAAAAGATAACTGGGCAAGGTGGGGCATGCCTTTAATCCCAGCCGTTTGGGAGCTGAGTCTGGAAGATTACAGGGTTCGTGTGGATGCCGAGCGTGACCCTGTTTCAAGCTACAATTTAAAAACAAGCTTAGGGGCTCAACAAGATCCCTCAGTTGGTTTAGGAGCTGTCTGTCAAGGTTGACGCTCTGAGCTCAATGCCCAGGACCCACACGGTGGAAGGTAAGAACTAACTATATGAGGGCCAATTGTCCCCTGACTGCCACGTGTGCAAACCCCCACACAAACACACATACAAACACACACACACATGCACACACACTCCAAAAGCCCAGCTTGGAATGTAGCTCAATGGTCAAGTGCTTGCCTAATATGCACAAGGCCCTGGGCTCAATTCCCAATTACACACACACACACACACACACACACACACACACACACACACACACACAAATTAATAAAGTTGATTGATGCATTGGAATGAGTACGAACTCTAGAAAACACACCTAATCCAAAGGGAGGCAATCAACACTCAGCCAGTTGTTACCATGTGAGAAGACAGGCCTGGTGTCTTCAGATCTGCTTTTGTTTCAAGAAAACCAGAACTTTGGGGTTTTATATTAAATTATTTCACCTTAAAATGCCGACAGACAGCTAGCCGGGTGGTGGTGGTGGTGGCGGCGGCGGCGGCGGCGGCGGCGTTGGCGCACGTCTTTAATCCCAGCACTCAGGAGGTAGAGGCAGATGGATCTCTGTGAGTTCGAGGTCAGCCTGGTCTAAGGAGGAAGTTCTAGGACAGCAGGGCTGTTACACAGAGAAACCCTGTCTCTAAAAAACACAAACAAAAAATGCTGACAGCTAGCCCAAATCGGAGGACAGGAAAGAGGAGAAGGAAATGGGGGCAGGAGAGAAAGGAGCGAGGAATGAGAGGGGAATTGGGAAAGAGAGAGAGAGAGAGAGAGAGAGAGAGAGAGAGAGAGAGATAACACCCCGTGAAGTCCAAGTAGAACAATGCACACCCCAGTAGCTGCTTGTAAGTGGCTCTTGCTTCATACAAACTCTTCAGTTTCTTTTCCCAACAATTCAAATTGTGTGTAAGAACTTAATTCGTCCAGGAGGGGGAGCGGAAGGAGGGATGGGGGGGGGAGGAATCTGTGATTGGTATGTAAAATGAATTTTAAAAAATTTTTAATAAAAAAAACTTAATTCAAGTTGGTCATGGTGGAGCACCTATAAGCCCCAAACTTGGAAGCCTGAGGCATCATGCTCTTGAGAAAATTACTCTCTCTCTCTCTCTCTCTCTCTCTCTCTCTCTCTCTCTCTCTCTCTCTCTCACACACACACACACACACACACACACAGATGGGAGGGGCTTAAATAAATGTGTATTTAGAAACAGATAAATGACAAAAGCAGAATTTCCATCGTTTTATCATTTTCTAAGTCCAGCAGTTTTTTTTTTTATTAAAGATGATCATTACATCATATTAAAAGTGAAAAAATTAAATTTAATTACACAAGAGATAAGGGCCCAACAACTGAGATACACGTCTACATTTTATCTGAGTTTTAAAAGAGTGATCAAATGTAAAGACTTGGGGGTTTTCGTTTGTATTTGATGATCTAGAGAGCACTGAACTTCTAAAATTCACTGCTGATTTTAGGTAGTTAAGGAACTTTCAGGACAGTATATTCGAAATTCAATTACAAAGTAGCAACGCTTAAGGAACTGAAATGCAGTTGTCCTGATAACCCATTCTTGGATTTATTTTTTACCTATAAGGTTCAATCCACATAGAAAGTGTGATGCTGTCACACCCAGAGTTGATAACAATCCAGAAAAAGAGGTGGGGAGAAAAACTTGTCAGCCCAGAAGACTGAACAATTCAGCCCGGCTGGGGCTCTTACTCACAGTTACATTTTAATAATAATGTGTTAATAGACTTTGTATCTCACTTCCTAGGAGAGATTCGCACCTCTTTAGTCACGGCAGTCCCTATCTTCAGCTTCTCTCTCTAGTCTACAGTTTTTGCAAACTTAATATAAACCTATCCGTTTCCACTACTTCTGCTCTTAAATCAGAATTGAGATGCTTCAAAACGTGTGTGTACTCCTCTGCTGTCTCAGATTCTCTCTACCCTGACCCAGGCCCCATTTTGGAAACCCGGACTCCTGCCTACTCTCCATCCCGGTTCCCACGGTCTAAGACGCCCCGAGCCTCCCGCCCCGGCTTCAGTGCCCTCTGTTCCGCGGCAGCTGCCCCTGGTGCCCGTGCCCCCGCCAGGCCCGCAACCTCAGCCATTCCAGAAGTTGACAAAGAAGTTGCAGAGGGAGTGCCACTTCTCGGCGCAGTAGGTCTCGGTGAGCTCGGCGTTCTGGTCCAGCCCGTCGGGCTGGAGCTCGGCCACCGTGGGAGGCTCCGGGACCCGGTCCGAGCCCGCCTTCCTCCCACCCGCGCTGGTCTTCGCCCTCGAGGGCTTCTCCTCGGGCGGCGAGCTCGGGGAGCGCACCGGCTGTCGCGGCCGAGCCCGGCTCCGCGCCCTGGGCCGGGGATGCTCGGCTGGACGCGCGG